TTATACACAAACAATGAATCATGGAACACTACATCAAAAACTAATGATGTAATGTATGGTGATTAACATAACAATAAAAAAATTTTTTTAAAAACTCTTAGGAGAAAATACTTACAAATTATATATCTGATAAGGGGTTAATATCCAGAATATATAAAGAACTCCTATAACTCAACAACAAAGAAGCAAATAACCCAATAAAAAAAGGGGGGGCAAAGAACCTGAAAAGACATTTCTCCAAAGATGATCCACAAATGGCCTATAAGCACATGAAAAGATATTCAACACCATTAATCATCAGGGAAATGCAAATCAAAACCACCGCAGAGATGTCACAGCCATTAGGATGGCCATTATCAAAAAATCGGAAAGTAACAGGGGTTGCTAAGAATGTGCAGAAATTGGAACCCTTGTGCACTGTTGGCGGGAATATAAAATGGTGCAACTGCTATGGAAAATAGTAGGAAGGTTCCTCAAAAACTTAAAAACAGAACTAGCAGCAATTCCACTTCTGGGAGTATATCCAGAATAATTTAAAGTAGGGCCTTGAAAATATATTCACACATGCATGTTCCTATCAGCACTATTTGCAATAGCCAAGAGGTAGACTCAATCCAAAGTCCATCAATGGATGGATGGATAAACAAAATGTGTCTGTACTCAATGGGGTAATATTCAGCCTTATAAAGGAAGGAAGTTCTGACACATGCAGCAACACGGATGAACCTTGAGGACATTACGCTGAGTTAAGTCAATCGCACACAGAAAAAAAAAAAATACAGTATGATTCCACTTCATAAAGTGGTCAGATTCATAGAAATAAAAAGTGGAACAGTGATGACCACAGGCTGGCGGGGAGGTGGAAAAGGAGAGTTGTTTAATGGGTACAGAGTTTCAATTTTGCAGGATGAAAAATTTCTGGAGACCTGTCTCACAACAATGTGAATCTATTTCACGCTACTCAACTGTACACTTAAAAAAAATGGCTAAAATGGCAAATTTTGTTATGCGTTTCTTACCACAATAAAGAAGTGCCTTAAATAAGTAACTTGGGATAGATTATGTCTGTGGTAACAAACGAGATGGCAAACAGGTTGCTTTCTTGTCCCCTGTTGAATCCTTTATACGTAGAGGAGGAGGAGGAAGAAGTTGACACTGGGAAATCCCTTGCTCTCTCCTGTATACCCCTCCCCACATAATAACTACACATTTAAAATCATGTTGCATGGATCAATGACCTTTGTTTCAGACGAGAGGGCTTTTCCTGAGCATAATCTTTGTGGTTATTAAATTCTGGTTTTGTGGCTTCCTTGTCTTTGTCAACTCGATCTGGCACCAGATGGCCATGAGCGGTCTTCATTAGAACCTCAAAGTCAGAATCTGCATCATAGTCCTCAAGATCATTCTTGGGCCCAAAGAGGCCGGCGCCTGGGAGTCCTCCTGCCACCGTCTTGGAGAAGACTTCTGCGCACTCGATAGGCATGCTCAGGCGATAGAACATGATATCGGTGCTGCTCTTCTGAGAACCAAAGGACTTCTGAGTCACCTTCAAACATGGAGAACTGTCTATGGTGCCGTCTATTCTGGTCACCTAGCAAATGAAGAAGCGAGAGCTCAGATGTGAATCAACACCGTCGACCTCCTGATTCTAAAGATCGCTAACAGATATCACATCTTTCAAACCCTGAACACGGCCACGCGTGGCATAATTTTGCAAATGACAAGATTAAACACAGGGAGTCCTGTATTACAGACTCATAGCTCTGCTTCTGATTCCAAGGACAGTTTGGGAAGTCCATGTTACAATTATATTTATTCCTATTGAGCCTGGTGTTGACTATATAAAAAGAGAATTGATTATTGTTAATCAGTCTAATCAGGTACTCATAAAGTACTTAACATCAGAATCTAATGCTGTGCTCAGATTCCACTACTATGTAGCACTTTAGGGCCACCTTTTTAAGTAAGTGGCAATAATTGTCCAAGGGGGAATTCCCATGCATAAAGACATTCATCCCTTGTTTTTGGCAATGGTCTGAATTTTTTTTTTATTATTATGTTATGTTAATCACCATACATTACATCATTAGTTTTTGATGTAGTGTTCCATGATTCATTGTTTGTGCATAGCACCCAGTGCTCCATGCAGAACATGCCCTCTTTAATACCCATCACCAGGCTAACTCATCCTCCCACCCCCCCTCCCCTCTAGAACCCTCAGTTTGTTTTTCAGAGTCCATCGTCTCTCATGGTTCATCTCCCCCTCCGACAATGGTCTGAATTTTAAAGAAAAAGCAAACCTCGATATGCTCATGATTTGGTGGGACCTGGAGAAACTGAGGAAGCCTCTTGCTTAGCCACATGGTAATATCCCTGTTTGTGTTAACAGCAAATGGCTCATAGCCCTCTTGTAAGCCACAGATGGTGAAATATTTCAAGGTGCTGACATCCTTTCCAAAGTTCATCCTGCCCACTTGAGCCACTCCAAGACTACAGACAGGAATGAATCCTGGGAAGAAAAAAAAAAAAATCAAATGTTCAGTATCATTCGTATGACAGCCTGTTTGTATGGACTTTCCAAAAGCACTGCTCCATTACTCCTGTCTTTGGGAGAGACGGTGGCATAAGGTAAAACAATATTTGGAGAAAACAGACCACTGATGCTAAGTATTAAATGTAAGGGTCAGAAAACCAGAGTTTGATCATAATTTACTAAATGTGGCCCCTAGATAAGACCCTTCTTTCACCCTGGACTTCTGTAAAGAGAGATAAGTGCTCAGCAGCCCCCAGTCCTCCAGGGATCTTAGGGTGGACAATAATAGAAGGATCTCCTCAACCCACAGCCTCTTAGCTCAGGAATGCATGGGACTCCCTCATAGAGGGAAGGTAAGAAAAGTAAATGCCAAAGTGGGTTGCTCTTCAATCTAGAACAAGCATTTGAAACATGCAAGTACTGAGCACAGCCTGAGCCACAGAGTTCTTCACATATAACTCAAGGAAAAAAGATTAAAGGCAACATTTTTAAAAGTTTTCATTCACTTATAGCTGCTTTTGAGTTTTGAGGAAAATTGTGCCTTTATCTGGGGTGCACTAGAACTAAGTGTAGAAAACACGTAAAAAAAATATATAAATAAGTAAATATTCAGAAGTAGTTGCTAAAATCCCACTGAAACTCCTCCCATCTGTCCCTTTCCCTTTGATGTCACTGCCATTACAGGTTAAGTAAGGCAATTCACATCTGACCTAAATAATTAAGATATGAAATCAAAGTATAAGTTAAAAGTAAACAAGAAACTAAATCAAAAGCAATAGCTATATGCAGTAGGGGCAAATATCAAAATACTTCATCAGCTAATCTAATGTGTGGCAGGTTTAGTAAATCTTTCCACTATTGAATAAAAAGGGGAAAGTACATTAATTCTGTTCATTGTTTCTTTGAATTCTTTGGAATCAATTGTCTTTAGCAAGGGGCTGAGATGAAATTTTTCAGTGTGGAGGGTATGTGGAGGGATGTTTATGTACTCTTCATTTCCTTCTAGAATATTTCACATAGAAATTCAAGTAGTCAGTACAATAAACAAGGTCAGTATTGGAAAACAGACTACGGAGCAGAGGACCTAATTTACCGATCAAAAAAGCAGTGGATCCTAAGAAAAGAACTAGCAATTGACTGTGTACCATTATGATTTATACTTCTTCCCTTGTTGAAATTAGTGGCAATAAAAGCAATATATAACCCTCAAAATAGCATGAGACAGTAAAAACTGCATCCTATAATTCATAACGATCTCACTCAATTTGTATTCATCACGCTATATATGCAAATAAATGGTTGTAGAATAGTGTTACCGACCAGGAAGCAAGAACACACCCAGCTGTGTGCAAGGAAGCGTGGATGATGAGTTTCTAGTTAAAACTAAAACCCACAGCTGTGTCTGCAGCTGTGACAGCTCTTGAAGCATCAGTCAAGGGAAATTGTTTGAAATAAGTGTCCCCAAAGGAATCGAAGGAAAGGACTGGATAAATACAATAGACCTGAGACAGCTTGAGCCACATTTGCACAAACTGGCAAATCGAACACCCATTTGACATAAACTAGGGGATACCAAGACAGAAACATCTCAGATTGTAAAGACTTATTTCTTGCTAGTCACTTTATGTGTAGAAGGAATCCCTACCCTATAAGTGAAGCTATAAATCCCTGTATAGATCTTTGGGTGTTTTTCATACTAATACCTGAACTTTTCTGTATGTTGAGATATTTTTATTTAAAAAAAAAAAGTAACTTGGGTTGCCCACATAGATTCATGTCCCAAACTGTTCGCTATGGCTGCATTTATGATCAGAGAATATTGATTGCACAATAAATGTATGTTTTTTTCCTTGAGATGTAATACTATTTAGTCTTTGAATCTGGTTTTCAAAGGTTCATTAATATATAGAAAAAATATTCATAATAAATATTTTATGAAAGAAAGATACAGCATATGATTTATTTTTAAACCTGGGAAAGCATTAGAAATTTTTTTTAATTAAAAAAGTGACAATGAAAAAAAAAGTTACAGAATGAAAAAAAAGTTACAGAATGGTGGGATTTTTTAAAACCCTTTGTTCTTTCTTTTTCTGCTTCTCAATTTCACAAACTGTCTTCACTGAATATGTATTTTACTATGAAAACAAGTGATAGCCTTTGTAAAAAATAAAGTATTCACTGAATAAATTGGAGAACCGGAGTATACCTACATCTTTCTCATAGAGAAATGTGTAAGAGTAGTGTGGGTATAAAAAAATAGTCAAGTTCAGCCTCTTGAAGCTCAAGCTCTCTACGCTGCTGGGTGTGCAGTGCGTTCAGTACCAGAAATCTTGCCAATAAAATTGAATTAGTACAGGAATTATGAAGAGAAATTTAATAATATGCATTAAGACACTTTCAATCACTTCCTTATGCAAAAAATACTTAGGAGCTGCTGCCGTGGCCGGAAACTGGGAATAATAGTTGACTAACACACAGACATCAGCCCAAAGGTTCTCACAGTCTACTGAGGTGGGAAGACAGGCAAAGAAGTTCTACCTCCTGAGCCATCTCCGGAGATGGGGTGCTAAGAGCAGAGGAAGGGTAGAGCGATGAAATTCAGGCAGGTTGTCAGAGGAGTTATCATCTGAGAGGGCAGATGGGCATAGGTCCTACGAAATGACTAAGAACACAGAGCTTCGCATCTGAGAGACCTGCATGAAAATCTCCTTCCACCAAGTCTCAGCTATTTGACCTTTGACAAAGTCCTTAAATTCTCTAAGCTTTAATCCTTTCTTCTGTAACATCTACCCCACAGGATTACAGTTTTAAAAATGAAATCCTCTGTGGATAGTGCTCAAAACATGGATGCTTAGTGAACAAAATTTAAAAATTGGGGGGGGAGGTAAAAGTAAATATCCACAATAAAAGAAATGGACAATTATGATATATGCACAAAACTGAGTATGTGCGGGCATTAAAAATCATGTTTAGGACTCATCAGAATGTAACTGCAGGCAGAGAAAACCAATATAACAAAATAAAAACAAGTGGTGATTCTAGCTAAGGGTAAACAGGTGTTCACTGCACTATTTCACTTTTCTGAAAGGTTATTTCTCAAAATATAAAGTTGGTTAAAAAAATCAAAAGTTAAGTTTAAAATGTTTCTATATTGTGGAACAACATTTATAATATTAAGTTAAAAAGGTGGCTGGAGAAATTATTTTTACATCTCCATGCTTTAAATGGAAGAAAAATACATTGAAGTCAAATTTCTCTCTGGGTAAAGGGAACCTCTACAGTTTTTAGCCATTTTCATTATACTCCTTTGTATTTTCCAAATATTCAACCAGAATTTATTACTTCTTGATAAATAAATAGATGTAATTTTTCATTAGTTTACAGCAGATACACACTTATACATGGTATTTTTACTGCTTTTCCTGTTTTAGGCCCCTTTCAAGGAATGTATTCATGAAAGTATATCCATACGTAGAAACTGGCACATGGTTTTTTTTCTCTCTTTAATTTAGATGAAGAACTTAATAAAAGTTAAATCATACTGTGACTTCCGAAGATGCAGTTTTATCTGTTTTGTTTTGTTTGTAGAGGGGAGGAGAAAGAGAGAGAGTGCTAGCTGTGGGAGGTGGGGAGGAGTGGAGGGAGAGAGAGAATCTTAAGCAGGCTCTATGCCCAGCAAGGAGCCAGATGAAAAGCTCCATCTCAAGACCCTGAGATCATGACCCGAGGCGAAATCAAGAGTCAGGCACTTAACCAACCGAACCACCCAGGCGCCCCTGAAGATGCAGTTTTCCTAAAACTTCTGTGATAATAAGACAACCAGTATTTCTAAAAATTGCATGTTTTTAAATTAGCGTATGCACAGCAGGAGCAAACGGATGGCCATGACATCAGGGAAGAGAGTGGAGGGAAACAACAGGTGCTTTTCAGTCACATGACAGAAGGGCCAGGCCTCAGGCACTTGCATTTGGCCAGTACTTGGCAAAGTGCCTAGCAAATAAAGGTGCAGACAATGGATGACATGCCCATCACACGAGGCTCCCTAGTAGTAGCTAATGGTCCCTGAGTGTTTTTATCTGATGCTCCTCTCACTGAACGTTAACAACCATCAGTTGAGATAGGAATCATTATTATCACTTTCCTGACAAGGCAACAAACCTTTTAGCTTAAATCACTTGCTCACAACTAAGTGGCCAGAGAAGAAACCCAGGCCTGCCAGATCCTAAGGTCCATGCTTTAAGTCAGGGCCATACATAACCAGAGAGGAGAGATTTTAGGTTTCGTGGGCCATACAGTCTGGCAAAACTACTCAAACCTGAGTTGAAGTGCAAAAGGGGCCATATAATTAAATGAATGTGACTGTATTCCAATACAATTTTATTTACAAAAACAGGTGGCAAGCTGGATCTGCTTCAGGGCTTGGTATGCCAACCCCTGCTGTAAGTTACTATTCAACATTGTCTCCATACAGTATCAGGTCCCGCCATTCAGTAAGTATTTAATGAACACCTACCATGTGCCAAGCACTGTTCTTGGCTAGAGATACAGCTGTGAACAGAATGGAAAAGAGTCCCTTTCTGGAGCTCACCTTTGGGTAGGCATACTAAGTAAATAAACATAGTTATATATACATATATAAAATATAATGTCAGGAAATGATAAATGCTATCAAGACTTACTGAATGTTTGCCATAAATTAAACAAGATGGGTTGATAAATGACACTCTTAATAACTGCCCAGAGCAAAACAGGATAACTGAGGTTCCACTCTTTATTAGTTCAAAATAAACTGAACACACAAATACTCCCAACATGAGAAAACAGATTTCCACAAATTCAGGCACATACCTCGGCATAAGTAAAATTTTGGTCCTACCTTCCTATGCTTTGCATTCTCCATCTTCCATTCTAGTTACCTGAACTGACACCCTGCAAATAACAAAGCCTGGTGATAGCTAAGGGAAGTTTTCTTCCTG